CAAGCTTGGAATGGGGAAGTATATTCTGCAAACAGCCAGAAACGAGCGATAACAACAAACACAATTCAAAACATATATACAGTGCAAAACCGTCCTTGGAGAGAGTTACCAAATATCATACCAAAAGGCGCAACGGACCAATAGAATTTAAGATATTTCCCAGTGGGAAATACGACATGAAGGTGACAAGAGCGCCTTCGGCGCGAAAACAAAGAAATTCAAATTTCCCAAATAAAATTACAAAATTGGGTCCTTTCCCAAGTGAGCTCTGGGGATCTAACGTCCCCAAGAAGAACCTCCTGTACTGTCTAGGTTGGTGCCTTATTAACCCCTTTCCAGTTATCCTCAATATCAGCTTCTTCAAATAGAACTTGTAAGGTTTGGAACCTATTGTTGAGAGCTGTCTTCAATTTGTTAAGTTTGTTAGTATCTCGTAGGAAGGTCGTATTGAACCTTTGTACCGCTGTTTGTCCAGTTGTCCTATGCTTCTTTAGCTTCAGTTTCATCTTGGTAACCACCAGTTGGTGGTGCTTGAAGCTATGTCAGCTCATCTCCTGGTTCTCAAGTCTCCCATTGATCTTCTGGATTTTTATTGATGCAACTGTGATCGATCCGAATCTCTTAAGTATGGTCCAGTGCGGCAGACGTAGCTTTGTATATGCGTTCGTATGGGAATATTATGCAGCCCATAACCAGTTTGTGGAATGTACATAAATTCCTAAATTTCTCACCATTCCCATTCCTTTCTCTTAGTCAGTCCATGTCGTCCCATGGTATATTCATACCTGATTTTGTCCATCCCGACTTTGGCGTTTAGCTTTCCCACCAGGATTATCAGGTATTTTCCCGGTCACTTCACTATGATTGATTGCAGACTCTTGTAAATTTGATCTTCATCGCTATCATTGATGTTTTGAAAGACGCTTTAATGATCCTGGATCCATAAAATTTCCATTCTCTGAGTGCATTCCGTGCATTTTCAAATAGCATCGGAGCAACTCACTGAGTGTGCGGAGCATTTTATGACCAGAGTACAATAGCACTCCAGAACGAATCCAACAAATGATTTCTCTTACATCTAATTTTGTAAATGCATTTTAGTTACTCATAAGTAATGTAAAATAATAATAATAATAATAATAATAATAATAATTATTATTATTATTATTATTATTATTATTATTATTATTATCAGCTTTATTCAATATTATATTTTTGGTACAATATAGAATTCTCAGCGTAAAGTATTTCAACAAGTTTCCGTTTCTTTCTTCTTGGTCGGTCCTGGCGATAAATATTGAGTGATCGCCAGTTCGATGTTAGCAGTTCAGTAAATGAAAATATGAATAATGTGCATTCTTTTCGCTGTATATTGCCAGCAACCACGTTGGCTCTTATTGAGTTTTTTGTAACTGTGACAACGAAAGGTTGTACACTTTTCAGAAACGCAGCAGAATAGGTTATGCGATTAATAAACATAATGATATATTAAAACAAACAAAAATACATAATTTGTTGAAATATCTATATGGCAGGAACAGGTAGCCCAGATGCTCAAGCAGGCCGACCTTATTTTTTGAGTTATACATTATAATGGTGCCTATTAAAATCAAAACTGTGAATAAAATGAAACAATCACCTCAAACCTTCAATAATTTTCAATTTAGTAAAATTGTTCGGAACTGATTCGAAACTAGGACCATATACTTTGTCATCCAATGTTCTTATTATGATAGAGTGCATTGTCTAGTACAAGTCAATTTAAGGTCACATTCAGAGTATAATTAAAAGTATTTTGAATATGTGGAAAACCTTAGTAACATAGTTATCCATAAGTTGATTGACTAACTTTTATGAATACTTATGAAATTAGTGAACTGCATTCTTGAAAATTCAAGCGAAACCAACTTCAATCAATTTAAATGTTCAGAATCAAAGAATATTTAAATGAACTTTGTTTTCAATGACTATGATCCTCCTGATTATAGTTAATCTCAATTTCACCATTTTATCTTATTATACTCAACCTTCCTTTCCCAATTATAATTTCCCATCTAACGTCATGATTGATATTCGAGGCAGCAACAACAACCCTAATTAAAAAAACTAACGTTTCTATGCCTTTGTTTATTCGACCTCACTGTTATGATGTTTAACAGAATTTTGTTATCACCAGTATTGTAATTATTATCATTTTGAAAAATAAGTATATATCTGCGATTGTACAGCTTCGAAAATGAAGTCACCGAAAAGAGAACTCCTTACCAAACCGACCTTTCTTATTTTATGACTCTGGTTATATTCCGTTTACTTCAATAACTTCGTGATCCGACTCTACAGTTTTAAGTCCATAATTATTGTTATTTTACAAAGACTTAAATAAGGTATGCTAGTGAAATGAACAATGTCATATGATGAAAATGATAGACGTTCGTGTCTGTTACGGCTTAAATGTTTTAAATTATGTCGTTTGTAATCTGGAAGAATGGTGTCAAGGTCAACGGTCAGAATGATTCGTCGTAAAGTATCGAGTACTAGTCAACATGATATTATCAGTATAGGGCTGTGGAGATAGATGAGTTTTGATTGTGGTCATGAATCGATCATGGTTAAACCACCACTAGAAACCTAGAAGCACTGGGTGGCCGTTTCATCATAGTATGGGACTCCACATCGGTGCACATCCAAGATCCATCACCTGAAGCTCGAACCCAAGACCTTCGGTCTCACGTGCGAACGCTCAACCTCTAGACCTATATAATGTTAATAAAATAAACCACGTAAATAAAATTCATATTAGGAGAACTGGTGAGACTATAATTTATGGACAAAACCAATCACATTTAAGATAGCAGATCTTGGATTTGGCACGAAGCTCATTCACTCTTTTGGCCATATACCATTTTGACATTTTAGCTGATGTCAGTTCATGATGAAAACATTAAATCTAATTCCTAACCCTAACATTGAACTGTAAATCCTAATCCTAATTTCTTCACACTAATTTATAACTCTCATTTAATCCTGGTAAATAGGCGAACATTACAAGGTCATTTTAGCATTGCTAAAAGGTTGTCCATAAATTATAGTCTTACCAGAGAATTTCGTCTAGCTAATGGAGATAATAATAACAATAAAAATGAAGTCGTGTGAATACAATATGTAATCAGTGAAATGTAATCTAGGTGATTATGATAAGAAATACATGTGAATTGGGAAAGATAAGTGTGTAGATTGAGGAGGTAGAACAGATATTAACAAAAAAATTAATTGGTAGTGGGGGGTAAGGGATCGATAACATCCAGTTTATGTACATAGAACACTAAAAGCACCAGAGAATTTTTAGAAGCTTGGCACTGAGGTCAGTCAGCGATCGAACACATTGAAATCGATCCAATCTATCAACCAATCAGAAAAATCATGGACAAATGTAGAACCAAGAATCAAATCAAGGAAAGAAACAATCAAAAGAAAGGTAGAAAATGACAGGTTAAAAGTCAAAAATAGCTAATCAAGATCGAGGTTCACAGGACAAGCTGTCAGTCATGCGTGGAGAAATTCGGATACTTCATTTCAATTTGAAGTCTGTTCTGGTAATATTGTTCGAAAATAAGATGAAAGCTTCACGACCAAACCATCCTGCTCAGAAAACAAAACCGCCCAAATCATCCATCTAAGCTATAAACCTTCATCATCTCGGATAAACTTAATCATTTTTAACATATGACACTGTTTAATTCATTATTATTATTATTATTATTATTATTATTATTATTATTATTATTATTATTACTAATGGCTTAATTCAACATTATATTTTAGTTCCAGCATTCCTTACTTCGGTTTTTGTAAAATAACGCAATAACTATGGGCTTAAAACTGTAGAGTCTGATCATGAAGTTATTGAAAGCAATTGTTGATTTAAATACTCTTTTTTCAATTTATATATGAAACTTCGTCTGTTGACAGCCTTAACAAATCACATCGTTTGATTAAAAGTGATATTTAATAATGTATTCCAGCAACAATTCTTATAGTTTGAGCGTAGGCATTTCAAATTCGACATGTTATCTCGTGTGTAGTTTAATCCATGAATAAAAAATTAGCCATTATTTCCTGTTCTTGATGTATGTAATGGTTAAAACTTATGAGACTTTAAGACGTTTTAGCAAAAATCCGACACGAAACATTTAACTGGAAGGCATCAATATTTTCATAAGTGTTGCGAAAATGAGTAACACTGGCAAAACAATAAAAAATACTAAAAGTTTGTAATGAAAATGTCTTTTAACTACTCTATGTTTTGATGTATGAAGGTGTTTAAACTATTGTTTAATATCAAAACATTTATTTGAACTCTCACATCTCTATCTTCAGAAATTACAAGCTGTTTAGTAGTTACTTGGTCTTTTAGCTGTCTAAACGTTTTGATTATCTGTAATACGTAACTCATGTTTTATTTTGTTCATATAACAGCTTGGAAATTTCACTGGAAATCATTATTTAATAAAGAACTAGACTGCATTGAAATTGAAGAGCTTACATAAAATTTGGGGTATATGAACAGAGCCACTTCAGGGGTTATATATTTGACATTGAGTTCACTTATAAACTACTACCTCAAAAAAATCAATCAACTTGCGTTTATTTAATTGAACACTACATTGTTACTGAATATCTCTCAATTCATTATTTCTCTTCACCGATATCATTAATGAATTAAGACGACTAGCATATGTTATATATATGGACATCTATTTGATATTATGTAAATAATCCCATAGAGAAAAACTCATAGTTCAAAATTATACTCTATCTCTTCTGGTTGTGTAATTATTGAATCATTAAATCGCTTAACTAAATCAGAATACAACATTAAACAAACTTAGTGTGGGTTTTTTAAAACAGTTTCGTACAGAAGACAGATCAGTTTCATTACCATTATATACAAAGCAACAAGAATGTATTATATTCTACTTTTTTTTCCTGTTATCTTTCAGTATTTACGATACATTCTTGGTCCAGTAATCGACCAATTACTTGTTATTGGAGATGACTTCGAAATAGATCCTTCTAGATTAGGAGCTTCTAATGATTCATCTACTGCACCAAACAACCGAAATACATTATCTGCTATACTAGAAAGAAATCGTACTGCTTTACTAAAAAATGTTGCAATGATCTGGCGAAGAATTGAATCAAGTCAATGTAAACTACCGAAGTAAGTTCAAATAAATATTTATTCATTAGAAATAATGATTGGTAATACCTAATAATTTGCTGAAAGTACAAACATATCAAATGATAAGCATGTGATGAGAACCTATTTGTAGTAAAAAATTCACTACTATATATGGAAATTATTTTAAGACCTTAATTCTTGACGTCATTGGACTAAAACATGCTTACTAACAATAGATAATTACTTCATTAAATAAGTTTGGCCATACTCGTTTTCAAAAACAAGAAATAACCTTGCACACTGTTGTGAATGAGAACACAACCAGAGACAACCGTAGGCTGATTGTAGAAAGGTAGATAGAGTTTAGCTGCATTAAACGTTCTCTTCCTTGCTTTAGTGACTCTTTCCCGTAGCACATCACGAACTATATCTCCATTGAATTGCAGCTTCAGGAAGAGGGGGTCCTTACTGACCGTTGGTGTCGCTAATTTCTTGTTTATTACATGCAAGTGTCTCTTCAGGAAGCCTTGCGCATAACCCACCTCAATCAGCACATTATGTATAAGCTCTAGCTTCTTGTTTATATTATCGTCTGAGCATATCTTCCTAGCTCTATTTGCAAGACATCTAACTAGTTTTCGCTTATAACGAATAGGTACAAAACCCAAGGAATATGTGCACTGGCTTGCTGAAGAACTTTTTCCTATAGATACTGCCACTGACAGAATCACTTTCTTTTCTTCCTAACAAAACGTCATGGAAATTTAGTTTATTACCAAGTTCCTCTTCACACGTAAATTTGATTGCTAAATGCTTATTGTTAAATAGCTCTCAAAGTTCCTTTCCAATGTTCTTATCGGCGATAATGAAAGTATTATCAATATAACGGCAATAAATGTCAAGCTTATTAATAACCTCTTTGAGAGGTCCATTTTCTAGCTGCGCAAGAAAAAAAAATCAGTAAGGGTAAGATCTACAGATGAACCCACTGTTATTTCAACAATCTGTCTAGAATATGTGTTATTAAAGATAAGATGAATGTTCATTACTGTATATTAGAGCAAAGCCTAATGAGGATCTAATTAAATACGATATTGTCCGCTTATATATGTCGTTCTATTTATTATTACTCAATCTTATTTTGCATTAATCTTGTAAGACACTTTCACCATAAAACATGATTTAATTACATAGTTGCAACAGTATTTCAAATATTTCAGAATTTACATCATTCTATTTAGTTTACAGTTGTTTGACACAAAACGTGTTTCCAAGCGGCGTGGAAACATATTTTTCATACTCATAATTCAGTTGCAGATTTACTTAACAAGACAATTGTTTAGTTAAACAGGGACAAAATGATCATTTGTAGTATCTGTTTAAATTTAAATGTCTTTTAAGATGTGAATAGATTGATGTAATATTAATCTGTCATATTAAGTGAGTACTTCTTTTCGGCATCATATAAAACCTGTGCTAATCTTAAGTAAAACACATATAAGCGAACAATTGTTTTCAATTAGATCGTCATCAGGCTTTATTCTAATATACATGACTATTTATACGAAAATGTTAAACCAATCAAGGCAATATGGGTCAATAATCACAATGAAATAGAATAAGTCTCTATACATAATAGATAAAAATACATGTTGATAGTAGGAAAACAGGCGTACTGATAGTAGTAGGAATAATAAAATACGATAACAAAAGTCTTATCAATAGTTTAACGTTGGAAATAGAAGGTCATATGTAGGTAAATAGACTTGGAATAGTCAACACAAAACATTAAAATCATTACGTAATAAGAAGTGTGTAAATAATTAGATAGTGAATAATACAAACGGAAAGAGGCGGAAAATTGCAAACAAATAATGGATATGAAAATAAGGTTAATGGTAGCAAAAATAGACTAAGATAAATAAATAATAACAATGATAAAAATTAAAAAAGAAAATCGTTTGGTAAGTTATGGATAGGGAGGTTACGAATTTCTTCTGTACACTTAAATTGGGGTTATATGTACGAATTCCTATGGCTTCAGCTATATCTAGGAGGCGGGAACGAACTCCGTTAGGAAATGATGAAGGTATACGATAGATCACTCGAAATGATTTCGATTTATCTACAGCATGACTGCTATCAATAAGATATACCAAGATAGAACTGCGAATTGTTGTTATCTGGCCCTTTATAAACCAAGCTAGTAGATGTTCACTCATTCGTTGGTAGTACCCCCGATATAGCTATCTCCACAGGAGTAGCTGAATTCGTAAATGCACATTGAGGAGGCCAACTCAGGCAACTTATCCGTCGTTTGCGTAGACATTACTGGTCGACAAGAGAAAGTCAACTCTGCTTGTTCATTAAAATAATTCCCTGTAACAAGGACTGATAAATTATTTTTCCAAATTTAAAGTAGTTTAAAGTACAATTTCAAATAATAATTGTCAGTAATGTAAGTCAAATTTTCACTAATCCTTCATTACTAATAGAGATATTTGTTAGTTTTTAAATACCATTAACTTAATTAATCTGACATAATCTTAAAATGATTTGCTTAATTTTTTTTCTGAAAAAAAAAAGAGAATTACGTGATGTTTTCACTGCACTAGCATTAACAATTGAAGAAACACATGGAGTTCAATCAGCGGCACATTTAATTTCAAGTTGTTTATTTCTACGTTTTATTTGTCCAGCTATACATGGTCCAGTATTATTTGGTTTAACATCATCTATACCAGAAAATAATCGTATTTCTAGAAATTTAACATTAATTGCAAAAGTTTTACAAAATTTAGCTAATTTAACATTATTTGAAGATAAAGAAATTCATATGAAAGTATTAAATTCATTTATTGAACCAGAAATACCAATCATGTATAAATTTCTTCGATCAATTGCTTCAAATACCGATTCTAATTATCATTTATCAACTAATTCTGATTGTCATGAATTTATTGAATTAGGATATGAATTTGCAAAACTGACTCAATTACTTAATCTTTATATTAATAAAATTAATGTAAGTTCAATAGTGAATGAATTTTGTTTTTATAAATATCATGGTATTATGTTTTATATTTTTGTTACATAAAAAGAATGAACAGATCTATAGTATTAAAAAAAAATATTCTAATTTTACTCCCAGTGGAGTATAGGCCGCCGATCAATATTCTCCAACCCACTCTGTCCTAGGCTATCCTTTCCAGTTCTATCCAATTTTTTGTTCATTTTTCTCATGTCTGTCTCCATTTATCGAAAAAATGTGTTCTTTGGTCTTATTTTTTTTCCTTTGGCCTTGAGGATTCCATGTGAAGGCTACCTTAAGATACAGTTCGGTGCTTTCCTCAACGTGTGTTCTATCCACTTCCAACACTTCTTCCTGATTTCTTCCTCCATTGGAATCTGCTTTGTTCTCACCCATAATGTGTGACCAACAGATCCGAAGTATTTTGTATTGACAACTGTTAATAAAACTTGTATCTTCTGGATGATGGCTTTCGTAGTTTTCCAGGTTTCCGCCCCATACAATAGAACTGCCTTGACATTTGTATTGAAAATGCAATCACAATGGCATTGGTGTATACACTTTCTGTCTTCCCTTAAAATATGAGACTAAATTTATTTCATATCTTTCTTTCTACGGAGTAATTCTTTTTTTCTGTACCATATCCTTACATAAAATATTTCCTTTATTAATTACACCATTGAGTTAACTGCTTCTATGAATCCGGTGTTCGTCTTGCTGTGCTAATGAGGTGTGGCAACTTGGACCGATGCATTTATGCGCCTGGTCCTATGTTGTAACTGACTGACTGACTGATTGAAAAATCTGATCTTGGTGTTGGTTGACAGTTTTTTTTTAAATTCCAGATGTTCTTCAGTTGTATATATGCTGCTCTTGCTTTGCCGATCTGCGCCCTCACATCTGCGTCAGATCCATTCTAAATTTTTCTAACTCGCTAAAAAACGCTAACCAGAAAAAATTAATCAAACCACCTAATTATTCTAATTTTACAGATCAAAAATTTATATTTTCTCATTTATTCAATATAAGAAGTGATGACCTCTCAAATAATTGGATGGTACTGGAAGAGTTTTAAGTAGATTTTTCCTAGCGATCTAATAATAATCTGAAAAATAAACATTCAACACCGCTATCGACAAAAAATTTTGTAAGAGTTGGACTATATGCATTTTTAAAGATTAACAAAAGCCTTCGATATTATAAGATTTTGGTGAGTAGCTGTAAAGGTAAAATCAGTCAACCCAGAAATGAAAATAGACCATACAACAACAACAGAAACTGTAGAAAAAAGGAAATGCAAACCAATGAATTCTGATCAAACTTCTGAATAATAACCGTTAACCATGAATTCAGTAGATCTTGGGTATGAAGCATTCACTGATGAAAAATTCAAAATAAGGTAAAATCTCTATTTGTTGATATCAGCATTTCAAAAGTATTCTAACTAATGGCAGTTATCAAATATAACTTATTTCAATGTTCATTTGGCAGATTTTCGAAAAATCTATTTTTTAATCCATTTATAAATTCATGTTTTAGATTACGCCACAAATTGCTGAATTACCAGACCTACTACAGAATATTTCAGAGTTATTAAATAATCAAACCTTTACATCATGGAATCATAAAAGTCAGACCAGTTTTGAAAGAAACACAAATAGTAATTCACATTCTTCTAGAAGTGGAATACCAAGACATCATAGTCTCTCAAACAATAATCCTATTTTGGGTGTTGATAACAGAAGGCAATCAGAAGCGACTACCATCATAAAACCATCAGTAAGTGATTAGATGAAGTTTAATTTTAGCTTGTTAAGAAACAACATACTTTTTAAGCATACTAAGTAATTATTAATGTAGGGTACTGTAAAGAATATTGAAATTGAAGTTTCATATGAAGAACCGACTTCATCAAATAACTACTAGAAACCAGGAAGCATCGGACAGCCTTTTCGTTTTGATGTGAGAATCTCCAAAAATATACATCCAGAATCCTACCAGGACTCAAATCCAGGACCTTCAGTTTTCGTAACAAGTGACTGAAATGCAGACAGTCAAGTTGGTACCCAATGGTTTACATTTCTAACCTCAGCTATCTCTTGGTGTTGCGTGATCATCATTCCTTGCTACTGATGAGATTTATCTCACGGCCGACATGGTCGAACTCCACCAGTCGTGCAACATAAAAAAATTGACTGAAGTTAGAAATGTAAACCGTTAGGTCTCAACCCAACTGTCTAGAGATTGATCTACTTCTGCAAGGCTTGAGGGGCCTAAATGCTGTCCCCTAATGCATTGTGAATGCACGTTGCTAAGGAATCTCACTCAAGACCGAAACAACTTATTGGTTTTCACTGGTTATCTAACAAGATCAATCTTTCATATGAAACTTCGAATTCAATAGTTACTTTATTTTAACCAGTTCAAATGATATATACTACACCGTAGGCTGAAATCGCTGAGAATAAAGTACAAGCTGAGTGATTTAAACGTAGTTTTACTGTCTTGATTTTTGAAGGTCATACACTAAGTATTATAAATAAACGTATTCTTAATGTATCACTATTTGTCAAAAAGAATTTTAAACATCAGTTAACAGGGAAAGTACTTGAAAATAACTAAATAATAATGAACATCTTATTATGTAGAAGTCATTGTTAATTATTTATTATTATCATCAGCTTTATTCAATATTATATTTTTGGTACAATATAGAATTCTCAGCGTAAAGTATTTCATCAAGTTTCCGTTTCTTTCTTCTTGGTCGGTCCTGGCGATAAATATTGAGTGATCGCCAGTTAGATGTTAACAGTTGAGTAAATGAACATCTGAATACTGTGCATTTTTTTCGCTGTATATTGCCAGCAACCACATTGTCTCTTATTGAGTTTTTTGTAACTTTGCCAACGAAAGGTTGCACACTTTTCAGAAACGCAGCAGAATAGGTTATGCGATTAATAAACATAATGATATATTAAAACAAACAAAAAATAGATAGCTTTTTGAAATATCTAGATGGCAGGAACAGGTAGCCCAGATGCTCACAGTTCCATTCAAGATAACAAACGTTTTTGAAGAGTATTTAGCATATATTTAGAAAACCATTGTATGATTCTAGATATATCACTAGACTTAAAATACTACCGAGAACAAAACAGTTAACTTGCTTTAACTACCGAAAAAAATATCCTGCATAGTGAATTACAATACGATAGTGAGATATTTTTTAGACGATAAACACCAGAAGACTAAATGATAACTTAAAATTATTATTACATTACATATATTAGCCATAGTCAGTCGATGCAGCCACGACCAGGTCTGAAGCCAGCTTGATTCTCTCGTGTTTGCACGAGTCTGATGTTAGCCATAACATTTCTTATGGATGTTTAAAGTTGAAAAACGTTTTATTACTGAAACTCAACTTGTAAGTTGGTAAATTAAAGTTCCCCTCATTATATTAAGGTAAACAGATTTATTGTTCGTCTTTCCCTAAAAATTTCTTTAAAAAGATACTTTAAGTATAATGAAAACTTAGTACTAGTATCTATATACCGATTATCACTAATTCGTGCTTATTAAAAAATTTTAATGAGGTGCCTCGAATCGATAACTGATCTTCAAATGTCTATTGATACAAACTAATTACAAAGAATATAAATCTTACAAAGATTAAAACACTATAATATTTTTCCAATAAGAAGCATTATATACAATTGAATATATTGAACAATATTCAGCTAATAAAATAGATACCATTTATATAGACAAGTTAGATTATCAATTAAGAGTATTATTCATCAATGTAAGTACTGACCAGATCCGACGTCGATTAACTGAGGTAATCGGATAAGAACCAATGCTTTCAACGTAGTATGGTAATCGACAATCATTAAAAGTGAATACAGGTAATTTACTAAACCTAGAAGTAAAATTTAATCTATCAAATAATGATTAAATTTCATTTAAAACCCTAATTATAAATTTCTACATGATTAACATCTAATAAAGATTAAATTTTATTCTAATTAGAATCCTCAATACAGTTACTAATTGATCCACATCTTTATAACTAACTTATAATAAATGAAGAGAAAAAAAGCAAGTTATTAAATTAAAATCTCACAGGTTGAAATCATGAGTCAATTGAAGCTAGACCACTATGGAAAACCTCGAAACACTGGACGGCCGTTTCGTCCTAGAATGGGACTCCTTAGCAGTGCGCATCCACTATCCCGCACCCCACGGGATTAGAACCTACTGGCTTCGCGCGCGAGGACTTAACCACTAGACCCTTGAGCCGGCATCCAATGGTGTTAATGTCCAGTGCTTCCAGGTTTTCCATGGTGGTCTAGCTTCAATTGACTAATGACTTCAACCTGTGAAATTTCTAAAAATCTCCACAAAACCCATTCTGATAAATTAAAATCATTAATTATGGTTTATTGATAACATAACTTATCTAATAAATAGATTTGGAAAAATTGATAACATTCAAAGAGATGAAAAATATCAGTGATTTTAAGAAAGATCCATTGATTAAAACTAATGAATTGCTTATTCTATGTAAAAGGTCAAATACTTAAACTTTACAGGAATGATGCATAATATAATAATACTGATTAATTCTAGATTAACATTAACATAAGATTAATTTTATTTAAGTTTTTACGACGTATATATGTTAAAGAATAAGAAATGAACTTCAAAAAGTTAATTAAGATCTCATTACTTAGAAAAAAAACTGAGCATATGATTACATAGAATTTAAACAATACATTGTTTAACCATGTAAAATCCTAAACGTAATCCATGTCATTCTGTTTTTGTTTTTTTATAACATTAATAGCTGACTAAGTTACACGTAGACGGTAAGCTATCACCGGAAGCACCTATAAATGTAAAACCAATACATAATCAACAAGAACCTAATAATAATGCTACTTCAAATAGTTCAGCTAATAGTAATGAATTTATTTCAAATACAAAACAAGAAAAATCGTGGGATACATTTATTATACAAAAAGAATATTTACCATGTAAATTTAATTCTGCCGATATGATATTTAAACAAATACACATAAATGACATTGAACAATCAGAAAACATGGAGGAGTTATTAAGTCAATATCGTGAACAATTACGTCAGTTAAATGATTGTATTGAAAAAGTTGAACCGAATTGTTGTCATCACCCAAATTTATCTCATGCTTTAAGTCATTCTACACAATCTGTGCATAGAATTAGAAACCCTTCAAATAGAATTCCTAATAATAATGCCAATATCAATGGAAATAATAACCATATAAACAACGGAAGATCTGATAGAAATTTATCAAGACAAAGTACTGATGAGAATAGTTATCGTCAAGTAAAACGAAAAATAATAAATTCAAAATCCGATAATTCAACACCTATACCGTTAGATCGTGTGTTGAAAAAAGCGCAGTGTCCATATCAAAATTCAGACAAAACGAATAATAATTCAATAAGTAAAGATGATGATGATGACGATGGAGATGAAGATGATGATAATTATACCAGTGAGTGTGCTATTGGTAGAACATTAGTTCCTACTCATTCTGCATCTATAACTATTGATCGTTCAAGTACAAGCGATAGTGATTATGACTATGACGATTGTGATGATAGAATCACAGAATGTACTACTGAAGATACAAGTGAATACGCAAAGAAAACAACCACAAAAAATAACAAACCAAGAAGAATTTCCGCAAGACAAAATCATTTGTCTGAATCTCCAAGTCTGGATCAATTAGCTGAAAAGTGAGTAGATTATTTTAGTCCCAATTCTAAGAAAAAAACTAATATAAAATACATTTGCCGAAAGATATCGAAATTTTAGGTGAGTTTTCATGTTACTAAGCCTCACCATGAAACAGATCTCGGTGGAACCCACATCATATCCATTAGAACTGTAGTGAAAAACTCCACTGTTTTGGGAGAAGTTACTTATCATACTGTATTTACATGTTATGGATATATTATGCATCGATACATATATTAAATAACTAAGATAATTATGTTAATAACTAGACAGGTCGGTTATTATTTGTAGTACAGGTATCAGAACGAAAGTACTCTAATAATATTCAGCATTTAAATGTACTTATGGTATGGGAAATAAACAATCTCGGTGATGATCAATTGATTTCCCAGTGTTTTTAGTAACCGTAGGAATCATGTTACGAAAACCCTTTAAGTTAACCTATTTACTAGCATATCCATGCTTTAGTACACATGTATTTGGCATTGAATATTCTATTGGAGAATTTAGACTCTTTATGCTAGTTGATAGCTAATATAAATTGCTGTAACAACATTCTTCGAATTATTCTTGAAGAAATTTAATTTTCTTATGATTATAAATATCAATTAATCACTCGATAAGATGATAATGATACCACTGAAAGTCCTTGAATATTAGCTGTATTCGCGTAACATTATCAGTCGTCCTGACTTTGATCACACGATAACTGTTCTCGTTTACAACGCTATAGTGAATGGGAACACTAGTGGAAATAATCAAATGTATTTGAATACAAAATTACAGAATATCTTAGTAAAATCTCAGAATCATACAGTAAATAATTCATTAGCAAACATGTCAGTCAATTGTCTCAGACTTGATTGTTCCTTCATTTCCACATCAATCACTATCTGTTCTCGTTCTCTTCTATTCCATCTTCTCAACCTTCTGACATAAGATTGATCTTAACTCGGCTTTTGTGGTGTTGTATAAAAGTGTAAAAGGGCGTATACTAAGGTTTATTGAAGCCTTAGCCGTACGAAAATTCAAACTCCCTTTGTGTATTCAGAAACAGTTTGTTCTCACCTTAAACCTACCCTGGTAATATTGACTTATTATCCAGAGTGATTAGGTTTCAAATTGTGTTCACATTATTATTATTACTCTTATCATTATCCTTATCTCCTCTTACCCCGTTTCCAGTCTAGTTGACCTTTTATTTTTATATATAAATATTCTTAACAAGTATATGTGTGACCAGATTGTTCGAAATGTATTGCGCAAATATATCACATAGTTCTGATAATCTTCGTCTTCTTATTACACTATCGAAATTTATCAAACGGACTAATTGCTTTAATAAAATATACTTTCGTACTGTATTGATATTCTTAAAAAATATTTTCTTTTGTCCTCAAGTATACGCATACATCAACCAGCATGATAATGAAGCATAAATTACACTTGAAATACTATGGTAACAACCATTAAAACAATGAACATTGTAATTATAGATAAAACATCTAGAAATAGTTATTGAATTTAAAGAAATAACTGTTTAGTGAGAAAAATCATCTGATGTACATGTATATAGTTATGGGGCTAATAATCAATTATCGTCTAAGCTTAGTAACATTTAAACTATAAAATATCTATGTTGTTTTTTTTGAAAAAAATCCCCAAAAAAATAAAATTTACACATGACAGGATTTAAAACTGAATATTCAATTAGCCTTAACAGCAAAAAATCTCAATGTTATATAAGAGAATTGAATTAGATTTAAAGTTATTTTCACTTTAAAGTATGGATTTGGAAGGTACTCATGGAAGAAAACACAAACAACAAATCAACTGCCCATTAGTTTGGAAGGTACTAAAAATCAACGAGCAATAATTAGCTATCATTAAATAATTCGCACCCTATTTTAATTCTAAATTAGGTAATAAATCAGTACATCAAGAAAGATTCAGTGATTTTCTCATAGAAAATATCAATCTAGGGAGACGATCAATTTGTAAGTCAGGCTGAATGTTTACCGGTAGTGTTATTCTATAATTGTACTAAGTGGTGAATCGAAAGTTGACAATCGATTTCAACTTAATAACTGATCAGTAGTGTGTATATTTGAAAGCCTAAAAGTCCAGTATATCATGTAGTGAAATTTGAAAATACAAAAAAAACAGTTATACAGTTCCACATAGTTGTCCGTCTACAGTGAAAGTCGTCTAATTTGATTTCTTTTACAATCAAACTTTTTAAGGTTATCAATAAAGTCAAAAATTAGTCATCTCACCAAATTACACTAATTTTATTTATTTCAAAATATTATCTTAAAATGTATATGATACATAACATTGCCTAAACTGTTGTATTCCCTACATTTTAAAGTGTCATACAATTCAATCTACTTTCTATAAAATCATAATCTGAACAAATGGTAACGTAATAATTAGACCTTTATAGATACATTACTTTTTTTACTATTTATCTGTCGATTAATTCTATTTCTTGTCATTTCTGTTGAAATGTTTTTTTTATCAAAATAGATTACAAGAATTGAAAAAAATGCTTCAATTAGAACGTCAAGAAATTGAAGAAGTAGTAGCATCTAAAACGGAAGTGATAAAACAACAAGAAAAATCTATTGAACAATTAGAATCGGAACTTGATCAATTACGCAAAGAGCATAGACCATTAAAAATGAAACCATCGAATGGTAGACATACAAGTAAATCAACTTCACGTACAGTCAGTCCAACTTCATCACTTTCATCTGAATGTTATTCATCTAATTTATCTGATACAACTCAAAATTGTCACAGTTATAATAATCCTTTTTATCATAACGATATACATAACAATAAAAATCATAATAATACTAACAATAATAATCACTTTTTCGATCCATCAATTACAAATTATCACAGTAATAATCAAGGTTTAAATAATCTTAGTAGAGGTGAACCAGTCAATCCAGAGAATTATCGTACTGAAAATTTTCAAGAAAAATTATTATGGAGAGGACAAATGAGTCGATGTGAACCACAAGTTAGATGTGATTCTAACCTACTTTATTTGTCAAGGGCTAGTGAAGGAACAGGAATTCCATTAGGACATTTAATTGGAGCAAATCGTTCATTACATATTGGACGTCGTGAATCAGAAACTAAACTTTTGCCACATTAACACTATACTCATAAGTTAATATCTATTATTATAATAGGATATTTTCATAAACTCTTTTGACAATATTAATTATCTTTTAATAGTTCAACAAGAACTACTCATACATAAACTATTGATGACATATTTTCATCCTTGAAATACATAACACTTAAGCCGAAATCATTGGTACATTGAATACAAGAAGTGAACTAATAATATATGAACATATTCATTAGATGCTACACTAGGTACAAGCTGTGACACTGTGAATACATTACTATATATATAATACTTGTGTAAACACCCCAGGATCCCAGTGACTTATTTAAACGAAAAACAATCAAGTTTATATATATCTATACAAGAAAACTAAATAGTTTGCATTTTTGTCAACTGCTTTTCTTTCTCTTGTTTTTAGTCTTTCTAATTGTAGCAGACTGGAAAAATGTAAAATTCATACAGAGATAAAGAAAGAAAAAAAAAACAAAATCAAAATATTGATAAAGAGTTATTTGTTTCTGTTTTGTTTCAAATTTCATTTTATCATTTTTCTTATTCCTTTTGTATCCATTTTTAATTCTTGTCTTATTATTAATAATATTATATTACTTCCCTTTCTTAAAAAGAAACACGTTTATTATACTTCTTAATGGCATTCAACAACAGTAGTTTTTTTTCCATAATAAATATGTTCAATCAGTAGAACCAGACGAAACTGGATGTACATACATTTATAGTTAGATATATCAATATTGACATAACTATATACATTCATATACATATATACATTAATATAATCTATATTTCAGGTTATTAATACAAATGTCTCATTTTAATAATGCATAAGAAAAATTGAAAGATTTTTGAGAATTATATATTACCTTAATGACTTTGACTTTTATTATTCTCAAAGTGTATTTGTATTTAACACCGAAGAACTAGGAATACTATTAATTGATTTATGAGCATATTCTATTTGAATGAAGATTTACTGAAATTTTAGTCAAAACTAAATAATGATTATGATAAACTAGTAATAATTTATTATGACTTTAAGCAGAATATTGAAACATTCCTACATGAACAACTAGAACAAGGGAACTTAAAGATACATACTACAAAGAAAGGAATTATATTCATGGTCATTTATAATGAAGTAATCCTGATGTACTCGTACCGATTTCGTTGAACCATTTCACTGGACTTATGTGAAGATGCTTATTTTAATATCAAGAGAAAGTTCGACCACCGAGTCAATAATAATGATAATTGGAAAAACTGTTATACAATCATTATACATGAACCAATAACCAATTCCATAGCTACCCTGCTCCAGAACTTTATATCTTGTTAAACCACGGATTGGTAAAAGGCAAAATCTCACCTATGACTACAAAAAAATATTTTAGGGGGAAATATCACATTTACTTAACAGAGACTACTAGTTACATTTTGATGTAAATGACTATGAAATAATCAGTAATTGAAGGGAAAGACTAATTTATTTAGTCTCAAATAGCTGATAGTGTAACATTTATTACTTCAGTGTGAAGTGGCCTGTAAGATAGATATCAATAATAACAGTAATAAGCAAATATGACTATTTAAAAAAAGTTGAATCTAATTTATAATACAATTGATTACATTGATTGGAAAGTGGAGATTGTATACAAATTTCTTAATTATTATATTTCAGTTGTATTAGTTAAACAGTAACAGGACATTCTACATTAAACACTCTGACTTTCTTTAATGAATTTTTACATAGTTAATTCTAACACATCAAAATTAATCAACATTAATTAAAAGTATGTAAACGTATTGAAATAGAAGTAAAAAATATATAATTAACTTGATTCTAAATCTGATTTTATATGTGAATTATTACAGAAGAGAGTGTTCGTGTAAAATATCGGAAGTACATAAAGTAAACAATTTACTATGATAGATTTTATCACTAATGGAAACATGATACATTGGAAGAGTGAAATAACTTACTAAAAGAAATTTATACTGAGTTACCACGCTAGGAAACTTCTTAAACTGATAGGGAAGTGATAATTTTAATAATTAATGAGACCGCAATTTTTGTTATGAGAATTTATACAAAACTGAACAACGAATATATTAAAGCAAATAAGATTTATGATAAAAATGAGAAATCTTTAGTAATTCAGTCAGTAGAAGAAAGAATTTTAGATGTTTCTTTGACAAAGACGAAATTTTACAAGAGGTCGCAAAAAGCACACTATTTTAGACTCTGTGCTATAAGATAACCAGAAATCAGTCAGTCAGTAACAAAGTAGAACTTCGAACATACGTACATCAGTTAGAGTTGCCACAACACATTAGCATACAAATACAATTGTCGATTCAAATCCCGTAGTGGTAGAGGTGGTAAGAGTATGAGCAGTAATCGGAAAGATTAGGGTTTGAAGATATTATTCAAGAAGTATAATCCAGTGAAATAAATTTGGAAAAAGGAAAGAAAGAGACACGAAGAATTCAAAAGATTAGAATTTGGGAGAACACAAAGAGTGGATGCACCTGCGCCATTGCAAACCATTTTGAGACATGTCATTCAGTGTCTCTAACCATCGGTTGCTATCGTCTCGTACATCCCAACCAAGTAGTCTACACCTACCAACATGGCTCAGTCCACTTGACAGTGACTTCATGGATTTGTGCCATGTCTTAGTCTGGCCGTACCTAGCTTCCTTCCAACCTACTTCTATACCACTGAACATCGCATGTCGGGGCAGTCGGTGGTCGGACATACGTAACACATGTCCCAGCCATCTCAACTGATGAAGTTTCATTACTTCATCAATTGATTTACCATCCTTAGCTAATATCCGTTTCCTAACAATTGCGTTACTTACTCGATGGTCTCAGGATAAACGAGCAATATTTCGAAGACACCTATGATCAAATACTAGTAACCTACAAATATCCTGTACACTTACCGGCCATGTTTCGCTGCCGTAAAGTAGGACGGACCGAACTGCTGCACAGTAAACACGTCTTTTGGTTGATAGACGGATATCTCGTCTACGCCATAAATGACGCATGTTGGCAAAAGCTAATCGAGCCTTCTGTATCCGTGCTGAGATTTCGTCACACACCAGACCACAAGGGCTGATGAGACTCCCCAGATAAGTGAAGCGGTTGACACGCTCAACTACTTCACTCCCTATCATTAGTTCGTATCGATGCAACTCAATCCTGACGCAACATTTTGGATTTCGGGAGGGATCTCATGCCGAACATGCCTGCATTAATGCTTAGAGTGGTCAGAAGACTCTGCATTCTATCAGTGTCTTCACCAAATAGAACTATGTCATCAGCATATTCTAAGTCAATAAGTGAATCTCCCGGTAAAAGTTCAAACCTTGGGAATTTATATGAAGAAAGTGTTGTCTCTAAAAGCACATCAACGACAAAGTTGAACAAGAATGGAGAAAGTGGACAGCTCTAACGAACACCACTTGAGGTAATCAATTCTGATGACAATTCGCCATAAGCTCTTATTCGACCAGTTTTGTTCGAGTAGAAAGCCTTTACAAGGTTAATGTACTTCTTTGGTACTCCTTTCAGTGACAAACACTGCCATAGAACCTCACGATCAACAGAGTCAAATGCCGCCTTAAGGTCGAGAAATACTACCATTGTGGAGCGTCTGAATGTGTGTCTGTGTTCTAGAACCTGACGTAGTGTGAATATCTGATCTATACAACCACGTCCGGGTCGAAAACCGGCCTGGTTTTCTCTAATCTGCTCTTCACCAGCTTTAATTAGGCGTCGAAGTGTTATTGAAGCTAATATTTTAGACATTGTATTAGTTAAACTGATTCCTCTGTGATTGTCACAGGAGGACTTTTGTCCTTTCTTACAGATTGGCACAATCAGTGATTGAGACCAGTCAGATGGAATTACGTCCAGTTCCCAAATTCTACCTAAGACCTCAGTCAATCTCCCTGCTGATACTGGACCACCATCCTTAAAAACCTCAGGAGTAAACCTGTCAGCGCCTGCTGCTCTCCCTCGCTTCAGATTTCTTATGGCTTTTTCAACTTCGTAAAGAGACGGAGGACCTGTCCACCGATCCAATCTCCTGGATTGAGAATGAACAATATGTCCAACTTTCTCTGAGATTGTTTCGCTAACAGTAAGGTTCCTAATACCGGTTTCCTTAATGAGTCTGAACAATTGTCTGATATTACCTATTGCCACTGCCTTTTCCATCACTCTTGCTTTCGCTACCCACCACTGTTCACGATCATTGCGTAGACTTCTTGTCAGCTTGCGCTTAAGCTGACTCCGCTCTTCATTATGTTCAGAGTCAGGTGGAATGAGTTTCCGAGCATCTATCAGTGCGATAGATGCTGCTGAGATCTAGTGTTGCTCCCTAACCTTATGGTTTACCTTACTAGCAGATATCACTGCTGTTTCCACAGCTTTTCGGATGTCGTTCCACGCTGCTTCGGGATGGGCGTCACCTGCCTAACTGTTTTTCTAGTTGTTCCTCAAATATACTCTTAGCTTGACAATCATCAAGTAGGACCCTAAGAGGTTTCCTTGCGGCGTCTTTCCTACGTCCAGTAAGACACAGGCAAATACGCGCTCGTACTAGAGCATGATCTGAATCTAAGCATGTGCTCCAAAATGAGCGACAGTCTTCTATCGAGCCCCTCCATCGGTGGCTGATAGCTGTGTGATCTAGTTGGGTCCAACGTTGGGACGAATTAGGGGGTCGCCATGTCAAAAGATGTTTTTCCTTATGTTGAAAGTTAGTATTTGCAAGAAAGAGGCGGTTATCTGGGCATAGCTGCAACAAACGGTCGCCATTATCTGTTCTTTGAGCCACGATGCTATAAGATCCGCCCAGGTGCTTTTCCCTTTCGTTTAGTTTACCTACTTGAGCATTAAAGTCACCAGCCACTATTACTACATCAGAGCACCTAACTTTTCGGAGAAGGTCGGATAGCTTTCGGTAAAACTCAACTTTTTACATTATCTGAGCTGCAGTCAGTGGGAGAATAGGCAGAGATGACGAAGATGCAACGACGAGTGTCTCTATCTTTCCGAGTTCTTACTGTTTCGATCAGTCGGACAGTGCACAAACGACTGTCTATTGGGATCCAGTCTGAGACAGCTAGTTCTGTCCTAGGACTCAATGCTACACCTACACAAAGGAGGCCACGGGAAGCAGGATCAAGGCTACTAGATGCACGGAGTGTGGATCGAGTTGGTTCTTGATTTTGATATTATGAGGTCATATGAATGACGCTACTCGGATCCTGTATGTGTGTTTCGGAGATTCTAAAGTCCTAGCTAAGGAAGCCTGCTGTCCTATTTGGCACAGTGTTCGGACGTTATAATCTCCAACATGAAGTTTAGAGCGTGGTTTCAGGAAACCAGGAATAAAGTTCCGCCTACTCGAATCGTTTGCCCTGGCGGTGCGAGGTAATAAAAAGACATGAGAAGGGTTAGTTGTGGAGATAAGAGTGGTATTATGAGGTGTATAGAGGATTTGAATGTGACCAACTTGGTCTCGTGTGCTGTTACGGGTATGAGGGATGATATCACTTCCCGGCTGCTCACACCGTGGGAGGTTATTTCTTGAAGAACCTGAAAAAGAAGTTGGATTAGTGTTGGCCTTAGCGACCTGGGAGCGTGACCGCAGAGCTCAAGGGACAACTGCTTGAGGCTGGTCGCGTATGGCCTTTCCGTGGGAGGTTTTTAATTTGTTAGCTCCGTTCTTCAAAGGGCCTTACCGCCGGAGACGGAAATCCGTGAGGTAAGGTGAGGTGTGACATTTTTAGGGTCGACATTTTCTAACCCCACCCCTCCTTGTGGGAAGGCAGCATCGCTGCAAATGCTGGTTGTCTGA